CATCGCTCTCTAGTGAATGGATAGGCTGCATTCTCAGTGAGGTCACCGCTCTCTAGTGAATGGATAGGCTGCATTCTCAGTGATGTCATCGCTCTCTAGTGAATGGATAGGCTGCATTCTCAGTGATGTCATCGCTCTCTAGTGATTGGATAGGCTGCATTCTCGGTGATGTCATCGCTCTCTAGTGAATGGATAGGCTGCATTCTCAGTGATGTCATCGCTCTCTAGTGATTGGATAGGCTGCATTCTCAGTGATGTCACCGCTCTCTAGTGAATGGATAGGCTGCATTCTCAGTGAGGTCACCGCTCTCTAGTGATTGGATAGGCTGCGTTCTCGGTGATGTCACCGGTCTGTATTGACTGACAGCTGCTCACCCATTCTCAGGACATTTGTTGGATATTTTTGTACCCCTGTAGACAGGCTGATGATTCGGAGATCTCCATCTGTGTATTAGGAGTATCAGGACGTCACACATTGTGAGGTTTGTTGGGGGTTTTCTTTCATATGGATGGAAAATGCAATGCACAGAATTTAGGTAAATCCCCAATTTTTGGAAGTTTGGCGGGTTCCTTCTATCGCTCGGCGTTTCTCTTGCTTTGTGCCGATTCCTTATCTCCGTTTCTCAGACCTGAAGGGGGAATACAGAAGTTGATCCCATTAAATGAAGTTGGCCATCGTTTCCCGCAGCCCAGGGACACTCGGCCCTCTCCAGCTTTGTTCTATTACCGCCTCCCATTCCGTTGGCGGGGCGGCGCTCCTCAGATTGGACGCGACTCATGTTTTATTGGATAAACGCCGGCCTAGGAAGCTTACATCTTCAAATGCCGTAATCCATCTCCGCTCCGAGGCCTCAAGAAGAAGACTGCTTGGCTGGGGGCCCTCGAGAGGGAGAAGGCGGGCCCGGCTGGGGGCCCTCGAGAGGGAGAAGGCGGGCCCGGCTGGGGGCCCTCGAGAGGGAGAAGGCGGGCCCGGCTGGGGGCCCTCGAGAGGGAGAAGGCGGGCCCGGCTGGGGGCCCTCGAGAGGGAGAAGGCGGGCCCGGCTGGGGGCCCTCGAGAGGGAGAAGGCGGGCCCGGCTGGGGGCCCTCGAGAGGGAGAAGGCGGGCCCGGCTGGGGGCCCTCGAGAGGGAGAAGGCGGGCCCGGCTGGGGGCCCTCGAGAGGGAGAAGGCGGGCCCGGCTGGGGGCCCCCGAGAGGGAGAAGGCGGGCCCGGCTGGGGGCCCCCGAGGGGGAGAAGGCGGGCCCGGCTGGGGGCCCCCGAGGGGGAGAAGGCGGGCCCGGCTGGGGGCCCTCGAGGGGGAGAAGTTGGGGCTCTCGAGAGGGAGAATGCGGGCCCGGCTAGGTGTCCTCGAGAGGGAGAAGGCGGGCCCGGCTCGGGGCCTGGCTGGAGGGGGAGAAGACGGGCCCTCAATGGGGAGAAGACGGGCCAGTCTCGGGGCCTCCATAGGATCTTCGGAAGGGCCCGGCCTCACACTGAGCAGTTATTTTTACACCGAGGCCGCGCTCAGCCGCTCAAGGTGACTCCTGCAGACTGTTAAGTGCTCAAAATAAAGCAATTAGTCTCTGGAACTGGGGGGGAAGCGGCCGCAGACCTCCACACTCACTTATTGATTTTATTCTTTTTTTTTTTTTTTTTTGCAGTTGAATTTTTTTTCTTTTTTTCTGCAAAGTTGTTAAACTGATGAATGGGTCTCTGTTTTCTACATAGAGGACTTTTTATTTTCAAGAAACACGAGGGCTGAGAATCCGCCCTAAAAATGAAGTTTTGAGGGAGTTGGAGCCTCTGTCGGGTCTTTGTTGCTGGCTGTGTCCCCGCTGGGGAGATTCACCTCCTACATCAGCTGAAGTTTCATCTGCTGATATTTTGCCTTTCCTCTCCTCCCTCATCAACATTCTAACATTTGTTAAATAAAACCTTTCTGTGTTCATTATATACCATGTTTTACACCTGCTGACTTTATCACTGGGTCTCTGTCTTTTCTATGCAAGTCAAGCAGATCATGACTGGTGGGAGGAGCCAGCAGGGTGTTGTACCTAACTTCCTGAAAACATCCCAGCCCCCTGCCTCAGTACTCCTCAAGAGCCCTCAGCCTTGATGCAAGCAGGGGGGGGAGGAGTTATGCAAATATCAGAATGTCTTGATAGGTGGGTGTCAATCTGGAGGAGTGGGTGTTTCTAGGCAGGCTGAGTTTACATAGGTAACGCCCACATGTGATGCTGAGCCTCCATGATTGATAGGGCTGTAATCCAATGAATGAAAGGGGCGGAGGTGGCTCACCTGCGCAGGGCCGGCGGGGCGGAGCCGGCTCACCTGCGCAGGGCCGGCGGGGCGGAGCCGGCTCACCTGCGCAGGGCTGGTGGGAGGGGCCAGATGTTTTCTGTGCTTTTAGCTGGTCAGTCTCTTTTCATTGACCATGGAACATTTCCTGTGGCCTCAGCGGCTCCATAGCACCCCATCAGTGATGCTGACCTAGTCCATGGCATGTGAGGCCTGGTGATGGATCTGATCCATGTTCTCCATGTTGGGTGCCGGGAGGGAAGCCGGGCGTGGCGCAGTGTGTGGAATGGTATCCGGTGTCAGATGATCCCACATGTCAGCGAGCAGCTGGTGGCGGATGTGACCTCCCGGGAATACGAGGAAGTGGCGGGATGTGAATTCTTTACGGATAAACATTCCCCAACCCCGGAATAAGGAGAGCCGTCTGTGTGATCTTCCTGCATTGCATACACACGTCCAATCCTGTCCTCCAATCGTGTTCTGCGATTTCATTGTACAATCGGTATGGCGGCACACACGGCGATATAAAGTGTACAATCCCAGAGTGAAGGGAAAAGATTGTACACAGGACTATAGGCGGCCGGTGTCCCCATAGCCGAGTCTCGGGGTGTAAATTGGGACACAAATTCTTTATTTCCTCTTCTCATTAAATCTGAACTCTGAGATAATAAATCCATCGGTCATGTGACCTCCGGAACCTTCTCCCAGATCTGGGCCGTCATCCAGGGTGAGACTTCCTGGAATAAAGACCGCTCACTGCTGCTCCCTCTCCTTGTGCAGGGCGACTGGTCTTGTCTCCGCCCATATTAGGTGGAGCCTGCTGGGCCCCTCCCACAGCTCTGCTATGTCCTTTTTGCAGATTTACTGCTCCTGTCTCCGCCCCCCTTGTAGCGTTCTGTAGTAGGTGGAGCCTGCTTGGCCCCTCCCACAGCTCTGCTATGTTATTTGCAGATTTACTGCTCTTGTCTCCGCCCCGTTGTAGCATTCTGTAGTAGGTGGATCCTTCTGGGCTCCTCCCACAGCTGTGCTCTCTTCTCAGGCTACGTACAGCCCAGTGATGATGTCACTGCGACTTTTACAAGGTAATATCTGGGTTTGCAAAGGCACTTTCTGTGCACACTGCGGACTCTCTGACATCTGCTTTCAGCACACGGATTTCTGGCAGGATCAGCAGGTACTTTTACATGTAATGAACAGATATTGCAAGAAGCTTTTCATGGAATATGAGCGGATATAGTGAATGCGGGGTCCGGGGAGACTGCATATAGTGAATGCGGGGTCCGGGGAGAGCGGATATAGTGAATGCGGGGTCCGGGGGGAGCGGGTACAGTGAACGCAGGGCCCGGGGGGAGCGGGTACAGTGAACGCGGGTCCGGGGGGAGCGGGTACAGTGAACGCGGGGTCCGGGGGGAGCGGATCTAGTGAACGCGGGGTCCGGGGGAGCGGATCTAGTGAACGCGGGGTCCGGGGGGAGCGGATCTAGTGAACACGGGGTCCGGGGGGAGCGGATCTAGTGAACGCGCGGGTCCAGGGGGAGCGGGTACAGTGAACGCGGGGTCCGGGGGAGCGGATCTAGTGAACGCGGGGTCCGGGGGGAGCGGGTACAGTGAACGCGGGGTCCGGGGGGAGCGGGTACAGTGAACGCGGGGTCCGGGGGGAGCGGGGTACAGTGAACGCGGGGTCCGGGGGGAGCGGGTACAGTGAACGCGGGGTCCGGGGGGAGCGGATCTAGTGAACGCGGGGTCCGGGGGGAGCGGATCTAGTGAACGCGGGGTCCGGGGGGAGGGGGGTACAGTGAACGCGGGGTCCGGGGGGAGCGGGTACAGTGAACGCGGGGTCCGGGGTTTAGTAACACTTTGGAATGCAGTTTCTTTCCCCCAATCGGTGCAGTTCTGAGCAGGTTTCCCCTTTCTATGGAGGTCGGTGTCATTTCTTGTTTCCTGGATGCGGATTCTCGGCGCAGACAATAATTGGCGTTCAGGGGGAGCGCCTCCCCTCCATCCTCCAGTAATATCTCTAGTGGCCGGGTCGCGGGATGAATATATCACGGAGCCGTTTATTGATTGTGTAAATGATGGCTGAACGCCTCGGTACGCCGTGTGATCTCCGCGCTCAGATCGCCGCGTCCTTTCTACAATATCTGGGTCATCTCCCAACAATACAATCGTTATTCATCGTCAGTCCAATACTTCCAGCGTCCTGTACAATTCAGCCGGAACTGATCCCTGGAAGCCGGCGCAGCAGATCCGGACAGAGCATGAGCGCCCGTTGGATCATTGTTACTGTTATCTTAAAGCACCCCTCCCCCGCCAAAAAATAAATAAATGAATGTTGGGGCAAATGGGGAAAAAACATCTTGTTTTGGTACATCTCTGCGATAAAGTGCTGATTGATCTGCCAGAAATCCATGACCACCTGCATTGAATTCCCGACCAGTGTTGTCAGCCCTGCCTGACTACAGAGCTCCGCCTATCCCCTCCCCTCTCCATCCCCTCCCCACCCCTCTCCATCCCCTCCCCCACCCCACCCCACCCCCTTCTACATGCTTCTATTGATTTTTTTTCTCCCCAGCAAAACAATGCTCCGACCATGACTCCCCACCCTGTGCAGAAAAGGGGCTCTTGGGAGACGTAGTTTTGGGGGGGGTGTCTATTTCTATAGGAACTGACCTCCCAGTTGCTGCATTTTCACAAGCCTGGTGATGTTGCAGGGAGTAAAGAGATCAGTGGGAAGAATGTCCCTTACATTGGGGGTCAGTGGGAAGAATGTCCCTTACATTGGTGGTCAGTGGGAAGAATGTCCCTTACATTGGGGGTCAGTGGGAAGAATGTCCCTTACATTGGTGGTCAGTGGGAAGAATGTCCCTTACATTGGGGGTCAGTGGGAAGAATGTCCCTTACATTGGTGGTCAGTGGGAAGAATGTCCCTTACATTGGGGGTCAGTGGGAAGAATGTCCCTTACATTGGGGGTCAGTGGGAAGAATGTCCCCTTACATTGGGGGTCGGTGGGAAGAATGTCCCTTACATTGGAGGTCGGTGGGAAGAATGTCCCTTACATTGGAGGTCGGTGGGAAGAATGTCCCTTACATTGGGGGTCAGTGGGAAGAATGTCCCTTACATTGGAGGTCGGTGGGAAGAATGTCCCTTACATTGGGGGGTCAGTGGGAAGAATGTCCCTTACATTGGGGGTCAGTGGGAAGAATGTCCCTTACATTGGAGGTCAGTGGGAAGAATGTCCCTTACATTGGGGGTCAGTGGGAAGAATGTCCCTTACATTGGGGGTCAGTGGGAAGAATGTCCCTTACATTGGGGGGTCAGTGGGAAGAATGTCCCTTACATTGGGGGTCAGTGGGAAGAATGTCCCTTACATTGGAGGTCAGTGGGAAGAATGTCCCTTACATTGGGGGTCGGTGGGAAGAATGTCCCTTACATTGGGGGTCGGTGGGAAGAATGTCCCTTACATTGGGGGTCGGTGGGAAGAATGTCCCTTACATTGGGGGTCGGTGGGAAGAATGTCCCTTACATTGGGGGTCGGTGGGAAGAATGTCCCTTACATTGGGGGTCGGTGGGAAGAATGTCCCTTACATTGGGGGTCGGTGGGAAGAATGTCCCTTACATTGGGGGTCGGTGGGAAGAATGTCCCTTACATTGGGGGTCGGTGGGAAGAATGTCCCTTACATCGGGGGTCGGTGGGAAGAATGTCCCTTACATCGGGGGTCGGTGGGAAGAATGTCCCTTACATCGGGGGTCGGTGGGAAGAATGTCCCTTACATCGGGGTCGGTGGGAAGAATGTCCCTTACATCGGGGGTCAGTGGGAAGAATGTCCCTTACATCGGGGGTCAGTGGGAAGAATGTCCCTTACATCGGGGGTCAGTGGGAAGAATGTCCCTTACATCGGGGGTCAGTGGGAAGAATGTCCCTTACATCGGGGGTCAGTGGGAAGAATGTCCCTTACATCGGGGGTCAGTGGGAAGAATGTCCCTTACATCGGGGGTCAGTGGGAAGAATGTCCCTTACATGGGGGGTCAGTGGGAAGAATGTCCCTTACATGGGGGGTCAGTGGGAAGAATGTCCCTTACATGGGGGTCAGTGGGAAGAATGTCCCTTACATGGGGGTCAGTGGGAAGAATGTCCCTTACATGGGGGGTCAGTGGGAAGAATGTCCCTTACATCGGGGGTCAGTGGGAAGAATGTCCCTTACATCGGGGGTCAGTGGGAAGAATGTCCCTTACATCGGGGGTCAGTGGGAAGAATGTCCCTTACATCGGGGGTCAGTGGGAAGAATGTCCCTTACATCGGGGGTCAGTGGGAAGAATGTCCCTTACATCGGGGGTCAGTGGGAAGAATGTCCCTTACATCGGGGGTCAGTGGGAAGAATGTCCCTTACATCGGGGGTCAGTGGGAAGAATGTCCCTTACATCGGGGGGTCAGTGGGAAGAATGTCCCTTACATCGGGGGTCAGTGGGAAGAATGTCCCTTACATCGGGGGTCAGTGGGAAGAATGTCCCTTACATCGGGGGTCAGTGGGAAGAATGTCCCTTACATCGGGGGTCAGTGGGAAGAATGCCCCTTACATCGGGGGTCAGTGGGAAGAATGCCCCTTACATCGGGGGTCAGTGGGAAGAATGCCCCTTACATCGGGGGTCAGTGGGAAGAATGCCCCTTACATCGGGGGTCAGTGGGAAGAATGCCCCTTACATCGGGGGTCAGTGGGAAGAATGTCCCTTACATCGGGGGTCAGTGGGAAGAATGTCCCTTACATCGGGGGTCAGTGGGAAGAATGTCCCTTACATCGGGGGTCAGTGGGGGGGAAGAATGTCCCTTACATCGGGGGTCAGTGGGAAGGAAGAATGTCCCTTACATTGGGGGTCAGTGGGAAGAATGTCCCTTACATTGGGGGTCAGTGGGGGGGAAGAATGTCCCTTACATTGGTGGTCAGGGGAAGAATGTCCCTTACATTGGGGGTCAGCGGGAAGAATGTCCCTTACATTGGGGGTCAGCGGGAAGAATGTCCCTTACATTGGGGGTCAGCGGGAAGAATGTCCCTTACATTGGTGGTCAGCGGGAAGAATGTCCCTTACATTGGTGGTCAGCGGGAAGAATGTCCCTTACATTGGGGGTCAGCGGGAAGAATGTCCCTTACATTGGGGGTCAGCGGGAAGAATGTCCCTTACATTGGTGGTCAGCGGGAAGAATGTCCCTTACATTGGTGGTCAGCGGGAAGAATGTCCCGTACATTGGGGGTCAGCGGGAAGAATGTCCCTTATATTGGGGGTCAGCGGGAAGAATGTCCCTTACATTGGGGGTCAGTGGGGGGAAGAATGTCCCTTACATTGGGGGTCAGTGGGAAGAATGTCCCTTACATTGGGGGTCAGTGGGAAGAATGTCCCTTACATTGGGGGTCAGCGGGAAGAATGTCCCTTACATTGGTGGTCAGCGGAAGAATGTCCCTTACATTGGGGGTCAGCGGGAAGAATGTCCCTTACATTGGGGGTCAGCGGGAAGAATGTCCCTTACATTGGGGGGGTCAGTGGGGGGGAAGAATGTCCCTTACATTGGGGGGTCAGTGGGGGGGAAGAATGTCCCTTACATTGGGGGGTCAGTGGGGGGGAAGAATGTCCCTTACATTGGGGGGTCAGTGGGGGGGAAGAATGTCCCTTACATTGGGGAGTTGACTTCCTGAAAGGAATTCTGGATGAGAGAGGCAGGTCTCGAAGATTTCATTCTTGTGAAGGCTGAGAGATTTGGCCGTCTTCTGTAGGTACACGATTGTATAGTGTATGGAGGTTTTCTGTTGGTGGATCTACATGGACTTGTCTTGCTTCAGCCTGGCTGGGTAATGATGGGCAGATTGAGGAGCGATGAGATACAAAGCTCACCGTCAACCAATCAGAATATGACATAGAACACGTCAGGTGAAGAGATCTCTGTGTCCGGAAATACTGAAGATCACGTGTGGGGCTGGACTGCGCCTTTAACTGGTTCTTAGAGTGCCCCCCCCCCCAGGACATGGGAAACCTCCGGAGTTCAGCCGCAGGAACAGGCCGAGCCGTGGAAGTTGCTTCCTGAGGAAGTGCAGGAAAACGATGCAAACATCTGTGTCGGGATCTGCCTGCTCTGGACGGGACTTTTTCAGAATACCATAAAAAAAAAAAAAAAATTGGCGCAGCGAAAAGTTTGAATCAAAATTTAGAATTGAAATTTATTTTCTTTCGATGACCGATGAGGAGGAACGGGAGAAGCAAACATTGGCAGACGCTCCTCCTGCCACATACAGCGCGGTGAGGGGTGGCGGTCATTTGTCACGCGAGGTTTTGTCGGCGAAGATCGCGGCTACAGATCGCTGAAGCGCCATATTTTTAGATTTTGTGCTTTTATAACATTAGAATTTTTAGATTGTAGCGAACATTTTTTTTTTTTTTTTTGTGCGTTTTGACCGTAGTGCTCCATTTCCGGGTTGCTGCGCTCTCCTTCAGCAGTTTATAGGTCACCCCGTAGCGGCGGACGTCGGTCGCTGACGCATCCAATCACTGAGCTGCAAGTCGGGAATTCCTTGGGAAATGACGAAGATTTTCTTTAGGCTCACACCCGATGCATGTTGGGAACACGTGAAATCATGCGGATTTCTGACGCAGAGAAATGCGCTGCACTTTAGCTAATGTTCAGGGGTGCCATGAATTGTTAATGCTGCCGCCATGCGTCGCTAAATGTGAGCTTCTGCGGGCCAACGGTGCGTTCTTGGAAACGGATCAGGGACTCGTTTCCTGCGGTATTCAAGCGTAGGGCGACCCAATGAAATGAATAGGCGACATGCGGGAAATGGCGCACCCCAGGCAAGTTCTCCGTGTTAGAGGGGGCAGGGGGACAGACGCGTCTGGGATTGGGGATGCAGCCATCTAGGTGAGTATGATTTTTTTTTTTTTTCCTTTTTGTTTTCTTTTAAAAGCCATACTTCTCTTTTACTAAAACGGTTTTTGTGAATTTTCATTAATTCCAGAGATTTCTCCTGCAGTATTTCTTTTCTGCCACTAGATGTCCTCAGTCTAATGGCCAACATCATTCCATCCACTTCCGCTGAGCCCAGGTCATCCTTGGCTGTAGATATATTTTATTAGTTTTTGGAGGGATAGGCTGTTTGCATTTGTGTGGGCGTGTCCTCTAAGGTTTCATGGCTGGTTGGCTGTTTTGACTAAACTTGGCCCTTTGTGCATTTCTCCAAAGGTTCCTTGTGATATTTTTTTTTTTTTTGGATACGTATCTGTGCTTCTCACCTATTGGATGCGTTGTATCTGCGCCCCTCTCCCGTTGGATGCGTTGCATCTGCGCCCCTCTCCCGTTGGATGCGTTGCATCTGCGCCCCTCTCCCGTTGGATGCGTTGTATCTGCGCCCCTCTCCCGTTGGATGCGTTGTATCTGCGCCCCTCTCCCGTTGGATGCGTTGTATCTGCGCCCCTCTCCCGTTGGATGCGTTGCATCTGCGCCCCTCTCCCGTTGGATGCGTTGCATCTGCGCCCCTCTCCCGTTGGATGCGTTGCATCTGCGCCCCTCTCCCCGTTGGATGCGTTGTATCTGCGCCCCTCTCCCGTTGGATGCGTTGTATCTGCGCCCCTCCCCCGTTGGATGCGTTGCATCTGCGCCCCTCTCTCTCCCGTTGGACGCGTTGCATCTGCGCCCCTCTCCCGTTGGACGCGTTGCATCTGCGCCCCTCTCCCGTTGGACGCGTTGCATCGGCGTCCCCTCTGTCCGGTTGGACGCGTTGCATCGGCGGCCCCTCTGTCCGGTTGGACGCGTTGCATCGGCGGCCCCTCTGTCCGGTTGGACGCGTTGCATCGGCGGCCCCTCTCTTAGAAAAACTGGAGCAGTCCTAATCCGGAGCAGTTGTCCATGGCAACCAATCAGCTTCTATTTTACATTTGTTTAGTTAAGCTGTTAAAATGAAAGCGCGAAGCTGATTGGTTGACATGCACAGCTGCTTCAGTTCTGATCAATTCCCCTCATACGATCCTGTTGGACACATTGAGACGAATTTACTAAAGGAGTTGAGAATCTTTACTCAATATATTGTATGAATATTCACTTCCATCATCCAATGAGATCCCTGTTCACGTTGGGAACCAATCAGGTGCAGATGTAACGAGTAAGATCATTGCTTTTACCGTGATTGGATGATGGAAGTGACAATCCCCCCGATTTTCGGAGTAAGGACTCCGGACACCTTTAGGAAATCCTCCGCACTATATCTGATTTCCTGCACTGACCTCCCCACAGCTTTCACTTTCCAGCGCGCTGATCCCCTCCCTCCCAGGAGACGAGGAGGAAGTGCTGTGCGGTGAATTTCCATGAATTTTCATCACGTTGGCCGCAGCGACTGAGGGAAGGGTTGGGGGTGGGGGGGGGGGCAGTTGTGTATCGGAGGGGAAATGCCTGAGAATGAAACAATCTCTAATATTAGTGCTGAGTGTTGCTGGACGCAGCGATGAGTTCCTCAATGACTCCATCCGAAGATATTTCCATCAGAATGTAAAGCGGCACGTCCACCAATGAACCGACTCCGTCCAGGAAACCCTGCAGCCGCGCTAAAGTCCAACTCCACTGCAATGCAAATCTGTCACTAGCAACATGATCCCCCCCCCCCCCCCCCCCCCCCCCCCCCGGCAGCCTTCTGTAGGAGGATCT